AAAAAAAAAAAAAAAAAGAAGATCTCATAACTTCCAAAAACAAAATAGAAAACTTTCTACTCGAGAGGAGATGAAGTGGGTGCGCCGCCGCCGCCGCGGCCAAACGCAGGCCTGCTGCCACCTCCACCCTGCATGATCATCACAATTGCTTGAAAATTTAGAAAGACCATTATTTTTCATACAATTTATTATATTTTGTTGAATGAAATCTGACCTAATTCACAATCATTGTATAATGTCATCGTAGTCCATCACCAAGAAATTTACATGATAAAACAAAAATATCGATGCATTTCAGATAAAGAAATTTTTATAATACGCAATAGCATCAAGAGTTTAAAAGATCAGAAATGTTATATAATTCCCACAAAAAAAATCTAAACAACATAAATAAGTCCAAATATACATATATTTTTTTGGGGTGCACAACATTACTCATGCATAGCGCATTATCCTATTGGAAAGCTAGTGGTATGCTGATTGTGTCAAATGGTGCAAACAATATGAGATGAAGGAGCACGCCAAGAGTGGAATTTTGGAAAAAGAACTTTGGTATTAATAAAGAGCTTTTATAAGACATGGATTCACAAGTATTCTTGTGGAATTTGCTACAAGACACAACAAAGATTCTTTTGAGTAACTCTACGAGTCCACAATTCTCTAGGATTTCTAGAATATTCCAGCAAATCTTAGTCTTCCACAACTTAATGAAGTACAATTTAGGTGAAAATTTGTGGTTTTTTAAATTAATGAGCCGCTCAAATCTGAATTACCCGCAACATAACATCACCCCTTAAGGGCATTTATGCCAGCCTATTAGACCTTCTAGTGTATTCAATCAAATTAATAGAGGAGAAGAAATACCCTGATTTACGGTGGAAATATGAAGTATATTAATTGCCCCCCTCAACGCATTTGAGGGAGTGCATCTAGCACAATGAATTCATGGACTTGAGAAAATTCTAGAGCTTCAAACAAGGTTCACACTTTTTTCCACCACAAACATACTTAACATTTGACTGAATAAAATCAAAAGCCCATCATCATCATTTCTGGACACTGCCCGTTGATCAACGTCGGTGCCTCCCACACTCTTCCAACCTTATGTTGATCGACTCCAAAAGTTTGTTTAGCCACCTAATGTTGCCCGACATTAGAAATTCGGCGCTGCCCAATGCATAAAAAAAAAATGATATTTGATGATGTCAAATGCATTAGTACACACTGCTTAGATCATTCAGCATCTAATGTTGCTCGCTAACTTTCAAACAACAATCAACATCCAACACTAATTAAGCATTAACATCTGACACAAACCTTCTAATCGCATTGTCTCTCGTTCTATGAGAAGAAGGATCTAGTTTGATCCCTCTTCTTATAGAACTACTACTAATATCTGTTGCAAGTATTCTCGCTACTTGATCCCTCTCACCTATAAGGAGAGCAACCAAGTCATATTAAAGTTTTCTCGCTACCTGATCCTCTCACCTATAAGGAGAACAACCACGTCAAATTGCCCAACATTCCCTGTTCATCAACGTTCCACATCAATTCCTTATTTTAATTCCAAGATATAATCCTCAATCTATATAGCTAGGCCCCCAGAACTAACTTTTCCAAGATTAGGTGGCTTTGCTCAAACACTAACAAAGTTAGGCTAGCTCCAATCCAAATAAGGTTAGGCCATGATCCATCCTGTGTGATTTGACATGTACCCTCCCAATCGGCATAGATGACCAAAAGTAAAGCTCGTCCTAGATTAAACAAATTACAAATTAAACCTAATGTGGCCTCATGAAGCACATTGGTCATGACTTGAGATAACACGCCCTCTTAATCTATGTCAATTGCAACTTTTTAGATTTTAAAAAGCATATGAATATTTGAACTAAAATCTTACGGAATTGATTATGTCATCATCCAAATATGATTTTCAACAAAATTATGGTCGAAAGTTTTATTTAATGAAACAAACCCAACAATAAAGAACGCCTCCATCTAAGTCAGAATGAACCTAAATCAAATAGCTGGATATTTAATTGGAAATCTCTCAAATCCATTTTAGAGAGTAAATAACACATGAATTGTGTGATTGATCAAAATGAGTTCCAGAATAAGATCCATCTGAATTGCATAGAGATGTTTAAAAAAAAAAAAAATCAAATGATCTACTTGGTTCAAATCAAACTTATAGATTGAGCGTGAAAATACCCTAAGTATATAATAGCCTGTCCGCCCAACAGCACCCAAAGTTGATTGTTAAACAAAGTTGATGCCTATCTCCGCCAACAGCAAACTTAAACAATTAGCTAACATAAACACCTACTATCATCACTTCTAGATACAATTTGTTGACCAATGTCCACGTTTGCCGCCATCTTCACTTGATGTTGGTCGGCACCTGATATTCATCAACCATTTAATGTTGTCTAGCATTCAATGTTCAGTGTTGCCTAGCATTCAATGTTCAGTGTTGCCATTCAATGTTCAGTGTTGCTTGATGCATATAAAAAATTGATATTTGATGTCTTCAACCGACAAAGTCAAACATACAAGTAGAATGACCTAGTTAGATTGCCCGAAATCTAACATTCCTCATTACTTGTCATATACACATACCAATAATCAGCATGTAATACTCATCAAGTATTAACATATGACAAGCCTTTTAATTTTCCAAATTTCATGTTTACAATGAGAATAACCTGGTATATTCACTCAAAACTCCCACAAATCGCGGACCTCTCCATGGGTAAACTAGTTTATAATTCATAGACATGAAAAGATTTTAGAGCTCAACCCATCATCGCCCAATGTTGATTGCCAAACAACATTGATGACTATCTCCACCAGGACCACCACCACCACACTTCAACAATTGACTAACATCAACACCTATCATCATCAGTGCTAGACACAAATCGTTGAACAATGTCCACAACCGGCATTATCTTCACTTGATGTTATGTTGCCCGACAAACATTGTTTCATGCTACCTGATGTACATAACAAATTGAAATTTGATATCTTCAAGCAACAATGTCAAATATATAAGTAGAATGACCTAGTTATATTGCCCTAAATCTAACATTTCTCATTAATTGTCATATGACATACCAATAATCAACATCTAACACTCATCAAGTATTAACATATAACACAAACCTTCTAATTATCCTGATTCCTGACTTATAAGGAAAAACACCTAGTCTACTCGAACTCCAACATTCTTTGTCAAGACATCTGTTGCAGGCCATCTCAGTTGCTTGATCCCCTCTCCTATAAGAAAAACAATGGACTCAAATTGCCCAACTCCCCCAAATCTTTAACATGTATCATCAATCGTTATTTGACACATACTGAATAGTGATGTCTGATGTTCATTAGCCAATTGGACTTGTTAGACTGATCCCCATACCCATGGCCACATCATGGCCTTGGTCAAGCCCATTCTAGGTTAAAGAATATTAACATATGACAAGCCTTTTAATTTTCCAAATTCCATGCTTACAAGGAGAATAACCTGGTATATTCACTCAAAACTCCAACAAATCGCGGACCTCTCCATGGGTAAACTAGTATATAATTCATAGACATGAAAAAATTTTAGAGCTCAACCCATCACTGCCCAATGTTGATTGCCAAACAATATTGATGACTATATCCACCAGGACCACCACCACCACACTTCAACAATTGACTAACATCAACACCTATCATCATCAGTGCTAGACACAAATCGTTGAACAATGTCCACAACCGGCATTATCTTCACTTGATGTTATGTTGCCCGACAAACATTGTTTCATGCTACCTGATGTACATAACAAATTGAAATTTGATATCTTCAAGCAACAATGTCAAATATATAAGTAGAATGACCTAGTTATATTGCCCTAAATCTAACATTTCTCATTAATTGTCATATGACATACCAATAATCAACATCTAACACTCATCAAGTATTAACATATAACACAAACCTTCTAATTATCCTGATTCCTGACTTATAAGGAAAAACACCTAGTCTACTCGAACTCCAACATTCTTTGTCAAGACATCTGTTGCAGGCCATCTCAGTTGCTTGATCCCCTCTCCTATAAGAAGAACAATGGAGTCAAATTGCCCAACTCCCCCAAATCTTTAACATTTATCATCAATCGTTATTTGACACATACTGAATACTGATGATCGATGTTCATTAGCCAATTGGACTTGTCAGACTGATCCCCATACTCATGTCCACATCATGGCCTTGGTCAAGCTCATTCTAGGTTAAAAAGACTATAAGTTGAGTAAACTAAAGACACATGAAACCCAATGCGGCCTCACGAAGCAAAATGGTCATTACTTGTTCTACAACATCTTATAAACCCTAATGACAATAGAATATAATTAACCCTAGGCCAGGCTTATGAAGTTCCATTTCCCTTCAGACAACTGTTTTCTTAAACCATTATCGTAAAGCATAAGGTCAAGCAAAAGAACTACAGATAATAATCAAAGATGCCAGGTAATTTAAATAAAAAAAATTAATTTTTTTTAGATTTCCCAAAAAAAAACTACACAAAAATGGATCGGGTGTCCACTTAGGGCCAATCAAAATTGAAAAAAAAAAGGTGACACATATAAGGAGTGTTTTCATTGGTCCAACTAATCAAAAGTTGATTTGATTAGCATTTAGATGTAAATTTAAATATTTATTTGGGAGGTGAAACAAGAACAATTGAAACAACAACAATAGTGAATCCTGAAGCCAAAAGTGAATCCTGAAGCCCATGCATGACTCTCAATCAGAAGAGCTTGGCTTAGTAAAATCAACAACTACAACAACAACAAAGCCTTAATCCCACTACGTGGGGTCGGCTACATGAATCCTTTTTCTCCATCGCATCCTATTTAGTGTCATATTTTCATTTAGTTCTAGTAAGTTAAGATCATTTTTAATACAATAAGCCCAAGTCTTCCTAGGTCTACCTCTGCCTTTCTTAACACAAGTCGAATCTAAAACATCTACTCTCCTAATCAGATCATCAGATGGTCGACGTTTAATGTGACCAAACCATCTAAATAAGAGAGTTAAATGCTAGCTAAACAAGGAAAAATCATCATCCCTAAAGGGATAGTATTGTATCCTAAAAAAATTTTGGAGGCATTAAATCAAACTGTTTTGATAATCCTATTACAACCTCATTGCTGGTTAAATCCATAACTTTTGAATACCAATCATTCACATAATTTAACAGATAAAATGATTTCTCCTCCCACAATCTTAAATACTGCCAAAAACATCCAAACAGTTAACCTAGATTTAAGAGTTTTCATGCCAAATAATTCTCAAGTTTCAATCCTCAAAAGCTTTATTAAATCTGGATTCACTAAATCCTACTTTGTACCTAAACAAAACCCTAATCCATATTTTTCATTTTCATCAAATTCGTGACAGCTTGATCGCGACCTGCATGAATAGATCAGCTCGGTAGTTCAAAAAAAAAATCATATGAGATGTTTCTGCTGGCGTGTTTGTAAGTATCCCTAAAATCAAATCAAGGAGCCCAGTTCTTACCCTGAAAAATGGCTGGTACTCCGGCGGAGCACCGCCCTTATCCCCACCACCAACATCACCACCACGAGGCCCTCCACGATATCCATCCCTATCACCAAACCTCGGCCTATCCCCATCAAACCTAGGCGGTCCCCTGCAAGAAACAAGAACCAAAAAAACTACAATCAACACCCAAATCTTCTCCCATTAACAAAACCTAAATGATCAACTTACCTCGGCCGATCACCGGGAGGTCCAGATCCAAAAGGACGTGATGGGGGCTTCGCCGATTTCTTCAAAGTCGCAGGAACAATCTCCGATGGGAGATTAAGAAACGACCTCAGATACTCGATGCCGTCGTTGGTAAGATACCAGTAGTAATGCATCCAAGCGAATGTTTCCCTCACATACTCCTTCGACTTAAAGCTCTGCATCAGCTTGATTACCTGTAGATTGGGGACGTCGATGTCCGGGTGTTTTGCTAAGTTGTAATCCTTCTTCGCGTATAAAACTCCCTCTGCAAAAAATCGAAACAATCGATAACCTAAATACGAACGAAACGAAAGGAGGAAGAGAGGATCGAAGACATAGGGATTGAATTCTTGCCTTGGAAGAGGTACTTGCTGATTTCATAGCGGTTCTTCTTCGGTATGATCTGGAATAAGAAAGCGATAGCGGGATGAATCAGATAATGAAAACGCGGGGGATTGGATTGTTGAGAGGGGAATCATTCTTACCATGGTTGCAGAGACGAGAGATTGAAAGGAGGAGCTTCCAGGGGGGGCGTTGAGAGCCGCAGAGACGTAAAACCCTAGATTAATTTCCCCTCTAAATTCGCATGAGCGCCTCTGAAAGATAATTGGACTGAAGGAAATGGGCGAGCTTACAATTAATTATACCCATTAATTATCCCCACCCAATTTCTATGTCGGAGTCTGGACAAAATACATCATGTATGAAGAGATTGGACCCAATTTCTATGTCGGAGTCTGGACAAAATACATGATGTATGAAGAGATTGGTTTTTTTTTTTTTTCTGCCTAATATCTTATTTAATTAT